GGAGGCTCCTTCCTGCCTCTCCCAGCTCCTGGGGGCTCCAGGCATCCCTGGGCTTGTGGCCACATCACTCCAGTCTCTGCCTCTGTCTCCATGTGGCTTCTCCTCTGTGACTATGTCCCCTCTTCTTTTAAGAACACCTGTCACTGGATTTAGGGCCCTCTGTAAATTCTCCATGACCTCACCCTAATTAGTTACAATCGTAAAGACCTTATTTCCAAATAACCTCCATTCTAAAGTTCCAGGTATGGCGGATTACGTAGGGGGGAGATATCAAAACAAACATATCTTTTTTTTCCCCCAGAGTAATCACAACAAGAAATAGGAACTGCCTTATCATCAGCCACTGATAGTCTCCATCAAAATCTCAGGCCCACTGGACGTGCAGGCACACGTCCCAAAGACGTCCCGTCCTGGAGGCGCCTGATGCCCCGGCCAAAAGGCCGGCTGTCCCTGTGCACACACTGGAAAGCCCTTCCTCTCTCAAGGCAGCCTGGACTCCAATTCTCCACATGATGTACAAGAGGCTGACACCTGCTGTTTCACATAACCCCCCAGATCCACAGAACCTGCTGTCTTGGCTGTTCAGAGCCTTGGGGATGGAGGTCTCCTTGTGTCCGCAAACTACTGCAGGCACATTCCAGGCTCAGGGAAAAGGCAGAGACACACCACACCACCCTACAGCCAATGTGGTATGGAGGTGCTGGGGGCAGGCACCCCTGCAGGTCTGTGGGGTCCCCACCGTCCCTGGGGACAGGGCCCTAAACGATCTTGGGGATGGATGGCAGGTGCAGGGTGGTGGGATGGCACACAAACGATGTAAGGACTCTGTCAGGAGGCACAGTGGGCAGGGCCCTCCATGCAGAAAGGGCGCAGGGGGGGAACCCCCAAGGCAAGCTGCACCCCACACATCTCACAGAGCTTCCTTACACAGCCCCGCCTCAGTGGGTCTCAGGCTCAAGCAGGGGATGGGGGCCCTGAACAGGTTCTGGGGTCCTGAGGGGACTTCTTGTCCTTGGGGAGTCCCAAGGAGTCAGGCTGAAGCTGAAAAGGACTCCCCCCCACTAAGGAGAGGAGGGCAGCTGTGCTGATAGAGGGGGAACCCAGTGAATGTGGGGAGGAGACCGGAGAGCTCCCAAAGCCTGTCCTTGACAGACCACAGTCACAGGAGAACCCGGAGACCCTGAGCAAAAGATGCAAATGGGCGCGAATTCCAGTTTGCACCAGGACTGGGGTGCGGTGGGGTGGTCAGGGTTGGGGGTTGACACCTCCAGGCGACAGCCGGTACTGAAGATGATCGCATAGGGGAAGGTCACCTATGTGGATAAAACAGATGGTCGCCTGGGGGCACTCCCAGGAACCATATGGGGACACATATGGAGCCTGGGGCGGTCTCCTCCGCAAGGCTGCTCCCTCATTCCAGAAAACGAAGCGTTCTGTGCCGGTTGCTTCCCTTCTTTCTATCCTTGGTGGGAGCCTGTCTAAGCGGGCGTTCCACTCCCCAGCGCGCCCCCACGGCGGCCATGCCAAAGATGGCAAACTCTGCGCGCTGCAGCCGCCCGCCCGCTGCTCCCCGCGCCCAGCGCCCCAGCCCCGGGCTCAGAACTCGCTCACGTGCCTCTGCCGCCCGGGCCTGCCGGCAGCGTCCAGCCCGTCCTCGACGGTGCAGGACCCGGAGCGCGCAGACAGCGTCCGCGCGGAGAACAAGCTGTCGCGGCCCGCGTCTTGGCTGTCGAGGGGCAGCCGGCCGCAGCGCAGGTAGCCCCGGAGGCGCAGCTGGAACTCCCGCGAGGCGAAGTAGTAGACGAAGGGGTCCAGGCAGTTGTTGAGGCAGCTGAGGCACAGCGTGAGCTTGTACACGTGGTAGTAGCTGCCGCCGAAGAACAGGCGGCTCACGATGTGCACCAGCAGCACGAAGTTGTTGGGCGCGAAGCAGGTGACGAAGGCCAGCAGCACCACGGCGGCCAGGTACACGGAGCGCCGCCGCTGCTCCCGGCTGTGGCCCTCGGGGCTCCGCAGCAGTTTGAGGATGGTGGCCGTGTAGCAGGCCACCGTGACCACGAAGGGGATGAGGAAGAGGAGGACGAAGATGGTGAAGAGGAACACGGCCCACATGGCCACGCTGGGCAGCATGTCCTTTTTGAGCACGTCGAAGCAGGTGGTGATGCGCAGGGCGTCCACGGTGTAGGTGAGGTCGGTGCGCACCAGCGGCGACAGCGCGCCCAGCAGCAGCAGCCAGGCGCAGGTGCAGGCGGCCAGCGCATAGCGGCGGCGGCGCCAGCGCGCGGCGCTCAGAGGGTACACCACGCCCAGGAAGCGCTCCACGCCGATGCACGTCATGGTCAGGATGCTGGAGTACATGTTGGCGTAGAAGGCCACGGTCACCGCGTTGCACATGAGCACGCCGAACACCCAGTGGTTGCCGATGGCGTGGTAGTAGATCTGGAAGGGCAGCACGCTGGCCAGCATGAGATCCGTGACGCTCAGGTTGATCATGAAGATGACGGACGGCGACTTGGGCCCCATGTGGAAGCACAGCACCCACAGCGAGAAGAGGTTGCCGGGGATGCTGACCAGCGCCACCACCGAGTACACGACGGGCAGCGCCACGGAGATGGCCGGGTCCTGCAGCATCTGCAGCGTGGCGTTGTCCGGGCCGGTTATGTTCATGTCCATCCTCCCGAGGACGGGCCGGCGGCGGGGCCGGGAGCTCCGGGGGCGCCTGGAAGGGGAGGCCGGTGAGGGGCAGGTGGGAGCGTGGGGTGGGGTGGGGAGGGGAGGGGGGACGGCCCAGGCAGCAGAGAGGCAGAGGGTGCTGACCCCCCATCTGTCCGCCTCCCTCTCCCTTCTCCCCACTTTTTCCTGTCTCCCTTCTTTCCTTCCTCCCGACCTTCTTCCCTCCCTTCCTCCCTCCTTCCTTCCTTCTTTCCCTTCCTCTTTCCTCCCTCCCTCCCTCCCTCCCTTCTTTTCTCCCTCCTTTCCTCCCTTCCTTCCTTTCTTCCTTCCCTCCCTCCGTTTCTCTCCTTCCTTCCCCTCCTTCTTTCCTTCCATCCTTCCTTCCTTCCTTTTTCTTTCTTTACTTCTTCCTCTCTCCTTCCTTCCTTTCTTCTCTCCATTCCTCCTTCCTTCCTTCCATCTGTTTCTTTCCTTCCTTCCTTCCTTCCTTCCCTCCTTCCCTCTTCCCTTCCCTCCTTCATTCTCTCCTTCCTTCTTCCCCTCCTGTCCTTCCTTCCTTCCTTCCCTCCTCCCCTCTTACCTTCCCTCCTTCATTCTCTCCTTCCTTCTTTCCCTCCTGTCTGTCCTTCCTTCCTTCCTTCCCTCCTGTCTGTCCTTCCCTCCTCCCCTCTTCCCTTCCCTCCTTCATTCTCTCCTTCCTTCTTCCCCTCCTGTCCTTCCTTCCTTCCTTCCTTCCCTCCTCCCCTCCTTCCCTCCTCCCCTCTTACCTTCCCTCCTTCATTCTCTTTCCCTCCCTCCCTCCCTTCCTTCCTTTCTTTCTTCCTTCCTTCTCTCCATTCCTCCTTCCTCCTTCCTTCTTCCCTCCATCTGTTTCTTTCCTTTCTTATTTCCTTCCTTCCCTTCTTCCCTCTTCCCTTCCCTCCTTCATTGCCTCCTTCCTTCCTTGCACCCTTCCCTCCTTCCCTCCTCCCCTCTTCCCTTTCATTCTCTCTTTCCCTCCTTCCCTTCCTTCCTTCCCTCTTTCTTTCCTTCCTTCCCTCCTCACATCCTTTCTTCTCTCCCCTTCCTTCCCTTCTCCCTCTTTCCTCCTCCCCTCCTCCCTCCCTCCCTCCCTTTCTTCCCTCTTTCTTTCCCTCCTTCCCTCCCCACTCCGTCCTTCCCTCCCTCCTGTCCTTCCTCTCTTAATCTCCCTCCATCCCTCCCTCATGTCTTCCTTCCTTTCCTCTTTCCTTTCTTGTCCCTCTTCGACTTTTCTTTTTCCCTTCCTATTTCCTTTTCCTCCTGCCTCTTACTCTCCCACCCAATTACCAAGTTTCAATAAATACCCAAAGTCTG